CCAAGAACCCTTTTAACCCCTTTATCTTTTCTTTTCCCACATTCACTAAACTCTCCTTTCCACATCACTTTCAGTCCTGTTATTAAATGGAGTTTGTAAGAAAAAGATAAATAAAAGACTTTCTTTAGTTTCAAAGTAAAGTTGCTCCATACATTCTGAAACTAAATTGAAATTCTGTGTCCCTCCACAGTATTTTGTGTACAGCTGAGGGCCCTCCTTGTTATTTGTGGTTGCTGCTTCTTTGGGACTGCTGGGGCTGGGAATGATTGCCTTTCCCACAGTGGTTATTGCAAAATGACAAAAAATATCCTTGGCTTCCTTTCCCCTGTCTCCATCTGAATACAGATGAGGTGTATTTTTCAAAAATCACCACACTTGGATTACAAATCTTCATGTCTCTCTCACATTCAGCTGAGAGCTGCTCAATTTTCCCCCATGTGCAGGTAAGTATTTTAGGAAAATGTTTATTTCAATTTTGCTGTAATAATGTCAGGCCAACTGTTAACCCTCATCAAAAATCCAAGGGAAAACCTGAATTATTTGAGTAATTAAATTCCTTCAAGACTGATAAAATTGCTAGTACCTGTGTCTTTGATCAAGCTCTCAATTCTTTGCTAGCATCGTGAAGTTAAAAATAAGACTTTTTTTTTTTTTGGGAGGGGGGGAGTTAAAAAAAGGAAGAAAATAATCTGAAAACTAGAGCAAGAGGACCGCTCTCCTAACCAGGCATAATTTATCTTCAGTTTGACAGAAAGCACCCCCACCCAAAGTCTGGCTGGCTGGATTCATCATCTCTACAGGTAACTTCCTATATAGTTTCTTATTATAGTTATTTTAGTTGCTTTTCAGACTCATTTTGATGCTCCTGAAGCCTTCTTAAGACTTCACTGCTTGTATCTTAAATGGCCGATTCTAGACTACTTAACAGAAAAATTCCATTTTTTCCCCCTTTACCCATCACAAATACCCCAGGGGTATGCTACACATGAATACTGTTTCTTCTTATATTCTTATTCCAGACAGAGAAGTTTATACATTAACTTCCAAACTGACTCTCATTTTGGTAATCTTGCCCAATATTGCTTTTTTTTTATTTCTGAGCACAATCAACCACCTGTCCCCTCCACCATGCACTGCTTTGGGATTTTGCATTGTCTAGATGCATTTTTATTTTCCTTCAGAAACCTCCAATCCTTTCTTTTAGATTTTATTTTAAAAACTGTGTTTAAATTGTTTCTTAGGTTTTATAATCATGGATAAACTAATCACCACCTATCAGACTTCTGCACTCTTTGCTTTTATCAACAAGTTTCATGCAAATACTTATGCATTTGTAATACAAAATAGCAATTATTTTGAATTACACAGTAAGTACAATCTAAGGAAAAATCCACATACCCTTACAGGAAAATACAGCAAAAGCACCAGGGCAGATCATGCAGAGGTGGTGTCAGGGACCTCTGACACCTTTCTTAATGAGCAGCCCCAGCATTAATAGAAAGACCACATCCAGCTCTTGCTAATCAGCTGCTAAAGTAATGATGGCTTCAATCACCCTGATGAAGTTGATGACAATGATTAAGCTGGCTACTTAAAATGTCTTCTTGATTAAAGTGATATTTAATCCATAAGTCATGAATTTCATTCCTGTTTGGCTTCATGATGCATCTTTCATGAAACTCAGGTGAGAAGTTTTCCTCTCTGGTGACAAACCCCTTTGAGTTCTCCCCATTTAATTTCACAGAACTGGATTGCAGGAGGCTTTGCCCACATCAGAAATCAGGTGTTAGACAATCAGCAAGTATTCAGCTAAAACCTCTTCTTGCCCACAACAGCAGCCCAACATTTTATCCTTCTAAACAAAAGAAAGAGAAATTCAGCCTTGGGCATGGTGAATTTTGTACCCCAGGCAGCCTCAGACTTCAAACAGACAGTAAATCATAACCTTATTTTTCCACCATCTTCAACTAGATAAAATGAAGTACTTCTAGTACACAAAAGAAATCTAACAAATGCTAACAGAGAACACTTGCTTCCTCTTCTCAAACATGCACGTGATTACCTCAGTGATAATCTAGGGGGAAAAAAGGAATACTGTTTTGTTAGAGTATCCACAGCTTTCACTCTGATAGTGCTGATTGAAATTCTCTCTGTGCACTGTTATTCCTTCCCAGTATTTCTAAGACATTAGCAAAAGCAGTATATTTCATCAGAAGAGTGCTAAACTGAAAGGTTTCAAGTAAAATTGGGGTTGTAATTATTTCAGGTCACTGTGGCCATATAAGAACAGTAACTTACTGAGGAAAGGAATTAATAGCCTGGCACAGTAATATAATTAGCCATATCTTTCTAAGAAAGGTTAATCCATTTAATTCATGGAGAGAAAAAGCTCTATGCTAGAGAATTTAAACTACATTGGCTTAATTAACTAGGTAAGAATAAAAAGTTCATTTGATGTGAAACCAAAAGTTATGTATCTATACCTTGCTACATTTACAGTAAAAATTATCACCAATAAATTTAGAAACACTGTTCAATTCAAATTAAGAAATCTTCCAGAGCAAGGCATACCCTGCAGAGTTTGGGTCAAGACGCTGTTCCAGCCAATGGTAAAATACAGACTGTTAAGCAATCAAAAAGCACCAGATTTCCTGAAGACTTGGCCAAACCCACAGCTATAGTTTTATTTTAAAGAAAGAAAACCCTGAATGGCTGTCATAGCTGTATTCCTGGTATAAATCCCAACCTAGAATAGCAGCTCTATTTTTAGAAAAGCAGCAGCAACCTATCAAGCATGACATAGAAAAAGAACTCAGGGGTTCTCATATGTAGGAGAACCCCTGAGAAGGGCAAGTGGCAACTTCATGTAGGGCTCCAAAGAGAAAGCAGGGGACCTGCTGCAGCTGTAGGTTTGTGAGCTCTTGGGGAAAGCCATATTTTCTGTATTCCCATCAGCCCAGGTCCATTGCACTGGAACATGGTCTGAAATAAGGGAGATAATGGGAAGAGACTGTAACCAGAGAGAGCTGCAGAGTGCAGCATGGCAGGCACGTGTATGCCTGCAGTACCCAGTCTGATGGCAGAATCAGCACCACCCCAGGCTACAGGAGCTAGTTTTAAGTTAGTTCCTAAAATTCAGTCCCTGCAGCCCTCTCTAGCTTGACTTCAGGAGAAAAACCACCAAGTCAAATAACTAACCAATTCTCTCAAACTAAACAGCCTTTTTTTCCCCCTCCTCTAGTTTCTTTTATTCTTGAAAAATAAATCAGCTCTGCCAAAAAACATCATCTTTCCATTGGATTATTCACTCTACTTTGACCATCATCCTAGTCCAATCCACCTGTCAGTCTGAAGAGTTAGGCGGTACAGCTGTGGGCCGGGAACACGCAGGCACCACTACTCACAGCCTCCACCTGCAAATAATCCCTCTCTGGTTTTGCTCTCAGGTGATTATGCTGAGTAATTTATATTTGGAGCCACCTGTTTTTCTGGTTGATAATCATCAAGAAGTCTTATTCTCAGAATAGATTCCCCCACATGGTTCTGCAACCAGCTCCCCTTTACTCACCTGGAACTGTCCACCTGGCTTATACTCATCTGAATATGCAGCAGGTCCACAGATTTTTTTCCTCCAGGACCTTGGCAGCTATCCCAAAAGATGTCTTCATCTTCAGTGAAGCCCACCCTTTCCCCAGGCCTTGCCTTCCTTCAATTCCTCTGCTGCCCACTGCCAGAGCCTCCCAAAACATCAGCCTCCTCTTTGCATCTCAGCAAATCTGATTGTAACAATGCTTGTAAATAACAAAGATACAGCCACAAAGAAGGCAAATCCAGGATTTTGTGAGTGATTGCTCTTTTGCTGCCTGCCCAACTCTAACTTCATCTCTCACTGTACAGAAGGAGAAAAAGTAAAGAGAAACAAGATCTTTGACTTAAGGTTAAAAACATCCAGAGCCTCTAAACATAAGTGCACTATTTTAAGCAGTATTAAATTGGTAGAAAACACTTTTTGGAGGTAACAGCGCTACACCTGAGACAAATTAGTTTCACCATCATCTTTGCTTCAGCTGTGCTGGAGCAGAAACATTTTGCAAGCAAGTAAGCACTTCACTGTGACCTCCTTGTGCAAGTCCTGGCAAAAAAGATACTTACAGCAAGACTTACTCTTATTTTGCACAGTACCAATGACATTCCTATAAGCATTTAGCTGGTAAGAAACAGCAGATATTCCCATTAAGTTAAGTAGACATAACTTGAACTGTAGCTTGAGATGTACATGTAGGCATTTTAACAGCTTGCTGTGTATATGTGAAGAGTATGAATTAAAAATATTTAAGTGATTTGAGGAAAGTTTTTGCTCTGTAGATGACTGTCAAAGCAAGGTGGTTCTAGTTTTTAGGGTACAGATCATCCCAAGGCATTCCTGATATTGTGTCATACCTGCTGCAGCCTTGCTTCAGAAAGACTCCCAGTTAGTGTGCCTTTGGCAAAGGGCATACCAAAAGAACATGAAATTTTAAATAAGTATCAAATGTGACTCTTAACAGGAGTTTTATGAGGTTCTCTCATCATTCTTATTTGTTATATTTGAAGCTGAACCCTGGAAAGTTCCCAGAGTTCCCTGTATGTAGGATGTTTTCTGGGATGGTTGGACAGTAGGCAGTGCCTATCATAGCACAAACCATGCTCTAAACAAGCTTCAGATTTTTGCAATCTGGAAAGGAGGAAATAAAAATTTTACTCTCCTGTAAAGGAGTAAAAGGAGATTTACTCTTACCAAGCATGCAGATTTTCAAAACAGTCAACCATAGCTCTAAATGGCATAAATACCTTAATCCCTGCTCAGTCTAATAAGCTAAGTTACTACACCATAAAATAAATAAAATACCTACTCCAGGAAATATTCAGCACAACCCAAAGGGAGAAAAACAAACAAACAAACCCAAATGCCTTTAAAAAAAATCACATTTAGGGAAAAAAGCCTCCTACCACAACCATACCTCCAGAGCTGCCTCCTCCCAGGAAGACAGGACCCTTCTGGTGCAGGGACACCAGGAGAAGAAACCTGAAAGGTGGGGAGACAAAGGGTCCTCAGTGCTCTCAGCTGTGACTGCAAACCAGGTGAACAGCTCACCCCCACACAGGTGTGGGTGGGAGCCTCATCTGGGGCAGCATTACAAACCACCCAAACCTACCCAGAGCCCCAAGCAAAAGGGAATCCTCCTTCTTAACCCAGGGGACTTCAGCATCAAACTCACCCAAGTGCCAGCGTCCCAAGGGTATGAGGTGCCTGGAAGGGCAGGTTTGAAAGTAAAACTCCTTTTTTTGCTGTTTTGTAACACCAGTGTGTTCAAAAGCACTTGGACTCACACTGCTCAAGGAAGGCAGATTGCAAGCAAAAATCATGCATAAGCAGAAGCCAAGTGTCAGATGCAGAGAGCTATTCTGAACCACCCAGAAAAAAGAAAAGGAAAAGCCAACAGAAAAAGGCCAAGTGCAGCAGGAACTTGAGGATCTGCAAGACAGCACCCAGGAATAATGAGGGAGCTGGAGTGGAGCTGGGGAGCACCCACAGCCCTGCTCCCTCCTTCCCTTACCTGGGTTCAGGGTGCCCAGCACACCGTGGGCAGAGCTGATGGTGTCAGGCACCCACAAAAACTCAGGACATTGCCAAGGGGTCCCTGGCATCACCAGAGACACATTTTGGAAACACTTGAGCAGAAAGCCCCCTTGGGGTTTGGATGATGAATAAGCTCACCATGGAGTGGTTCAGCACACACTTGTGGGGACGTGTTGGAAAGCATGACCCTGGGCACAAGGGGAAGGGAGGGACGTCCCTGCAAAGTGGCACGTGGGGCAGTGAGCAGGGGTGGGCACTGCACCCGCTGTGGCAGCCCCTGGCTGGTGCTGGGTGTGTGACACTGAAATTCTGCCCCATCCCCTTGGCTGCTGCTGAGACACCCTCACTGTGTTCAGGTAAGAAGCCATTTTGCAAAGAACCTGTCATGGTTTGAGGTTTTTTTGGGTTGGCTTTTTTTTTTGGGTTTTTTTTTTGTTTGTTTGGTTTTTTTGGGGTTTTTTTTGTTTTTTTTTAGGGTGGCTCCAGAATGATGAAATATGTTGCCATCTCTGCCTCTCTTCTGGGTTGATCCTCCTGGCAAATGCATTATTTTGGTTAGTTCAGCCTTTCTACCTGGTTCACTTAGCCCAAAGCTGACAGGGCTGCAGGCAAGGACTGACTTGAGCAGCAGAAGGCTTGGGTTTTCCAGGTGGGCGCCTCTCTGTGTGCTGAGATGTCAGAGATCCCTGTATCTTGTTGTCTCCAACTCCAACCCCCACCGATCCTCCCACCTTTGAGGCTGCATGAAGAGAGCTGGCATCTTCAGATGGGTCTGTCTCAACTCTCTTTGTGGCTCTGAGAACAAATGAAACCTCTGCTTTGAGTGAGAGATGGCTGGAGACAGCAGGAACACACGACTTGAGCAGGGGAAAAGGACTGAATTGCCATAAGATTTGTTTGTGGCACTAAATAAAAAATGACACTGTTCAGCTTCACTTACACATATGGTAAACCAGCCTGGGTGAGGGGAGTATAAAAACGAGTCAAAATACAGATTGATTCTGAAATAAGTTCTTTTTTTATCCTTTAGAACCATGGACAGGAATGTACAGCTCCACAAAAATGGAGGCCAAACATATCGAACCAAAACATTTCCTGGGATTCTGCGTGACAGTTTTTCTAAGGATATTTCCTTTCAACCAAACTCAGTCTAAAAGCAGCTTCCATTTGCAGTTAAAGTAATTGTGGTACACATTGCACACTTCTTGAAACACAATCTTTGTCATAGGCACTATGATTATTTTTCTTGTCTTTTTATTTGTTTTTACTGGTGAAAAAATAAACACAGGTGAAAATGAACACCTTTTTTCCCCCTACTTCAATGTGTTTAGACTATGTGATTAAGTGGATATTTTCTCCAGCTATTTAGATGAATAAACTTTAAGTTGGAGCATTCATTTCTGTGATCTAAAAGAAAGTTTGTGTATGTAGATTTACATATATATATATATTCAGAAGTCCCAAATCCAACTCAAGTGTTTATCAGTGATTTTATTGACAACAAAATCCATTTTGTTAAAATCAAATAGTTGTCTTATTTCAGTGAATGGTTCAAGACTTTCGGCTGCAAAAATTTTTCACAAGACTCGCCCTAGCATTGAGAACATTGACTTTATGTTCACATTAGGTGCTGTTTCAGGCATATCTACAGATCACTTTTAAGGTAAACATAATTTTCTGTGATATAGAAAAGATCTAGTGACCAATAAAGGAAAACATGAAATCAGGTTTAACTCTACAATAGGAATTAATCTATTTAAATGAAGCCTGATTGACTCTACTTGCTAAGTGCTGAGCAAAAAATCTGAAATACTGGATTTGTGACCATTAAGATTAGTACTGGGAACCAATCATTCCACTTTTGTTTCTGGACATCTTAATGTCCTTGTTGACTAAATAGGGAGGACTGAAAAACTATTTAACCAGTAAATCAGGCACATGATTTGCAAAGGCAATTCTTCCCTTGCAGTTATTCCAACTATCCCAGCTGGATATTCACAGTGAACAAACCACGTTTCCATCACCTCTGTTCCATTTTTAAGTGCTTTTAGTGTAGGGATTTGCTCCAGGCCTCATCAGCAGCCCGTGAGCGAGGAGCACAGGGCTCTGCCTGGTCTTCTCTCAGCTCATTAAGGAAGACAGGCAATGTGCTGGTGCCCAGGCCCTGCCCACAAGGATGGAAATCTGCCCATGAGCTACAGCACCTTCCTAGAGCACAGCCACTCCCACAGTGATGGGTTCTCTTTGCTCTCTGAAGCCATCTAGAGACAGCTTTAAATTAATGGAAATGCAAAGCTACTCCACTACTTACCAGAGAAACTGAAATGAAACTGAAATGAAATGCACAACTTTGTTGCCAATCTGTATGAGGTTAGACAGGAGCCTTATTTAAAAGGACTGTGATTTCCAGGGTGTTTTTTCAAGTTGCCCAAAACCTTGGGAGAGTTTTTCATTTTTAGCATCAGAGGCCTGCCCTACTATAAACCCTATTCCCTGTCCAAAGAGGAATCTGAGCTTGTGGGATTCTTCCTCACCATCCAGACCACTGCCTGCAGGGCTTCAGGAAGGGCTGGTTTGTCCTGCTTGCCAGAAGGTGATGTGGGACTTGCCAATGTCACAGAAACATCCATCAGGCACATGAAACTGAGATGGAAGTTAAGGAGAGTGCAGATGCTGTCCTGAGCATTCTCAAAGTCTGCCCTAGATATTGCAAACCACAGACAATTTAAAACAGCTTATGTATGTGACAGCCTGCAAATAAGGGTGACCAAACCACAGAGAGTCATTTTATCATCATCTGTCTGTGTAAATATGAATGGAATCAGCTGAAGAAGTTTTTGGTAATTAGCCCTTACTGATGCCCCTGTCCCTTCTGCACAGAAGACAAGAGCACATCTCTTGCCTTAGCTTTGCTTAATGTTTTAGATGTTTTCAGGAATAAGGGCTGTTGGAATAAAGAGAGCTTCTTGGGAAGAAAGATTGGATAAGAAAGCACATGGACAAACTGTGTTCAGAATAACCCCATTCCCCACTGGCAGCTCAGAAATTTAAGAGCTGGTCTCCTGAGCTGCTTTGGGAAAAACCACACCATTGTTATCTGATGTGAAAATGCAGACAAGCTGAATTTGCCTTCATGCTTCTCTCTATAACATCCAGAGAAGCAGCATGGAAATTACATATAAGAGATAGCTTTGTTAAATAAAACTGATAATGTGAACGATCAGCCTGATCGTGTCAAGATCTGAATGCACACAATTGCTTCAGAACAAGCATGGAGAGTTTTGCTTGTACTGTTTGTTCCATGTGAGGATGGGAGGCACTGCACAGGCTGCCCAAGGAAGCTGAGGCCACCCATCCCTGGAAGGGTTCAAGCTCAGGTTGGATGGGGTTGGAGTAACCTGATCTATTGTAAAGTGTCCCTGCCCATGGCAAGGGGGATGGAAATAGGTATCTTTTAAGGTCTCGTCCAACCCAAATTATCCTATGGTACCTACATGATCTTGGACTGCAAGAGCCAGCTCTGATCTGCAGAATTTGAGTCAGAACTGCAGCTGAGTGGCAGCTCTGGCAAAGCCACATCAGCAATGACAATTTTAAGACTTTGGAAGCAGTTTCACCTCTGCAATAATCAAGGAGAATATACAATGAAGTAAAAAAAATGAGGTTAGTAGGAATCAAACTGCTTTAACAATTCTCTGAAGTTACCCTGATGGGCAGAGACATTTCTGCTTAAATTGCCCCAGCTCAGGTGGTGGGAACTAATGAATTAGGTCAAACCATGGGCCACAGGCTCAGAAATTGTAAATCAGCACTGCTGCTGGCACTCCATGTAACCGGGCAATACCTGGGAGAATCCAGCCCATCAATTTTTAGCTCGTATTATTTCATTTTGATTTAATGAGAGGAGCCTTCACAGAAGTCAGTGCTGACACCTGCCTTTTGGCACAGTCACTGGTACAGCAGCTCAGACACCCTGTGGGTCACCTTTGGAAAGAAGCAGAGGTTAGCACTGCACAGGCAGAGACCTGGGGTTTATTTCAGGCACTCAACTGCTGAGCCACCACAAATATCCTCCTTGGGGAGCCTTCACATTAACTGTGCTTGCAGTGAAACAGCTGCCACTTGTGCAACTCCAAAGTCTGACCTGGAAGTTTTATGTAGTCCAAAAATCTTATTTACATTTACAACCCAAAGTTATCATTGATGCACACAGAAATATCCAGCTTTTTGTGGGCAATTTGAAAGAACTTGAACATAGTTAGCATAATTCAGGTTGGAAGGTCATCTAGTTCAACACCCCTGCAACAAACTGGGACATCTTCAACAAGATCAGGAGACAAACATAAAACATGGATCTCAGCCATCCCCTATTATCAGTATGTAAATATAAATATTTGTAATTTAAGTTTCAACATCTGATTTTTAAAAAATAGTTAATGTAATACCTGTATTTTTAATGGTTTAAAAAAATTACAGA